ATATATATATATATATATATATATATATATATATATATATATATATATATACCTGTATATGACAATTCCTCAATTGAAAACACTTAAATGACAAAAGTAAAGAACAGAAAAGTTTTAGAAAACCCCTCCCTTCAACAATTTCCTGCGGGAAGTTCTATCTTACCTTATCTTGTCTTATCTTATCTTATCTTATCTTATCTTATCTTATCTTATATCTTATCTTATCTTACCTTCAAGATGCTGTTTGTCTTGATGGTGGTGGTTAAAGTCTTGGAAAGTGTTGATGATTGAGTTGGTAGCTGTGTTAGCTCGGTGATCAGTGATGCGGTCCTGTAACCTTGAGCCAAAAAAAAAAAAACCATAGTGCAGAGTTGAAGCACCTTTCGGCAACAATTTTAAGTATTTTGGGATGAATTCAGCAAACGTTGCACACCTGGTTATGGGAATTTTCCAGACCACTTCTTGCAAATGTCTCCCAAGCTCAGTCAAGTTGGATGGGGTTCACTCATGGAGCCATTTGAAGTATAAGTGGAGATGCTGAATTAGGATGAAGTCAGGAATCAGATAGTTCTGTTTCCTTATTTTGGATCAGTGTCATAATGGAAGGTGTTGGGAACATTCTTCACATAAATAAAGGATCAGGGATTTCTTCGGAGCAGCACGGTGGCGCAACTGGTAGAGCTGTTGCCTCTCAGCGAGCAGGTCCTTGGTTCAAACCCCAGTCCGGGGGCCTTTCTGGGTGGAGTTTGCATGTTCTCTCCGTGCATGCGTGGGTTTTCTCCCACAGACCAAAAAACATGCATGTTAGGCTGATTGGTAACTCTAAATTGTCCCTAGGTGTGAGTGAGAGAGTGAATGGTTGTTTGTCTCGTTTGTCTCTATGTTGCCCTGTGATGGACTTGCAACCCGTCCAGGGTGTACCCCGCCCCTCGCACAGTGATTGCTGGACATGGGCACCGGCGACCCCCGTGACCCAAAATGGAATAAGCGGGTAAAGATAATGGATGGATGGATGGATTTCTTCGGTTGAGTAGATGTTTTGATAAGTTCTCGCAGTGAAGAGAAAAGTCAACCATCGCACAGGCTGATCACAGAACGGTCTTGAACAGCTCAGTTTTATATGCTCAAAGATCACAAGGCATTTCACAATCTTTTCAGGCGGGGTGAGAAGATAAGCACCTGACAATGTTTTTTAATGGTTCCAGTTCGAGATGCTACTGAAAAGGAATCTTTCATCTGGTTTATCTATCTGCACACCCACTGCCTACTGCCTAACAATAACAAGGTCATCCTGCATCTGCAAAGTTGTTCATCAGTTAGAGCACAGCTCATTATAATTCAACACAGTACAGTTATACGACACAAAGAATGGGCATGAAGGAAAATTATCTTCACAGGTGAACCTTCAGTCCAGTCTGTGGTCCTGAGCTCTGTGGATCAGGCTTTTCTCAAGCTGGACCAGTGTTTCAGTTGTTGCCATAAAAAATAAAAAAATACCAAGGAACATTAAATAAGGAGATGAAGCAGAACTGTATCATTACAGATGTGTGCTTGTCTTAGGACACCTTACACCTACAGCCCAGACTGTTGCATCTATGAACATGCATAAATAATGCTGCTCAATGCAGTTTTTATGTCTAATGGGATTGCTGTAATTTTACTGGGATAATGTAGGATGAAACTTCTTGAGAACAGGTAAAATGGGTTCTTCGTAACGCAGTGAAGAGTGTGAGCATATTACAGTGATTAAAAGTACCTGACTGGAGACTGTAAATAACTATAGCTGTCGAAGTAAGTGTGTATTTTTTTCTTCTATGGTAAATTAATACAGTATATGATCGCTTGACTTTCTACGTCTTAGGTGTTTCTATCGAGTGGAGGCTTTGTTTGAAACCATTTAATAGGAATTAATCTGGTTCTCTACTCATCACACCTGTTTCACAGAAGCCCATCTGCTGCCTGGAGATTTGTTTAATTGTTTTGTTTATGGTGTCTTGGTGTCCATGCTTATGTGCATGTGTGGTCCTTGAAGGGAGGTGAATTCTTGGAACTAATAAATACTGCTGCCTGAGGTGGCAAAGAAAAATTCAATAATCACCTAATATCACCCATCAGGCAACTCCTGAAATAATATTTACATTATAGATAAATAAATACATTAGAAAAAGACTAGACGATGCCAAGCTTTATGTTTTATTTACATTTAGCGTTGCTAAGGCAAGCAAGCGGTATGCCAATGTCCCCCGTCATTGAAGGATTTGAACAGTGAATGGTTGTTTTGGAGACGAGTGTTTTTTGGATAGGAATTGAAAATGGAATGCAAGTAAACTTTAATGTTTTTGGTGCAAAATACTAAAGCGGGTCAGAGTTACTCTTTGTAGAAAAACAAAGGTAGGTTTTATTTTTATTTATTTTTTTTGCTTGTGCGAGGCATTGCAGAATGATGGATCCTGGGGAGTGTAGGGATCCTTTTTTTCCACCACCAGGAGCAATGGAGGAGCTAGAGCTGAGGGTCACCAGTGGTGGCCTTGAATATCATAGACTAATCTTTGGTCACGCCAATCATTCCAGGGAACATTTTAAGCAATGTCGATAGAGCAACTAAGAAACTAAGTAACTAGAAAGCACAGTTTCCTCAAATGATAAGGGCGGTCGCTTTGGCAACACACAGTTTTTGATAGTGACCTTTTTGCAGCCACACACCAGAATGGAAGGTGGTTGGTTATTTTTTAGGCTATCAAGCTCAAAGCACAGCTGGACATTTAGGACGACAGCCTTCTTTGATTTTGATGTGGCAACTTCATTTCCAAAAGGAACATTTTTTTTTAATATCTAGATGTAGTCACATACCAACATGGAAGTCAGCATATCACTTACTTTTCAAGTTATGCTCGCAACATGCACAGATATATGGAGAGTGTTTCCTTTTCCTCATTTGCACCGTGATGGGGACAAAAATCAGGATCCATCTTGACAGAGCTGGTAAAGGCAAACATAAGTGATCATACTTTTGCACCGACATTTTGAAGCTCATTCATACCATCTGTGGAGGAAATGGTCTTCTTTCTGGTCTACTTTTAGGGCTCATGCCTTTGAAATTGTGATGTGCAGGTGCATCCTTTCTTTGCATTTGACTCACAGTTGTCATGGATCGAAAGAAAAACTGTTGTAGATTTTTTTCATAGAAAAGGTCTAAATCCTTGTCACTGTTATCGTTTACACATTTCTTCTCTGCTGCTTTATACTTTAAAAATAGTGCATTGATGATGTTGAATTTGCCTTTACAAAAAATGCCTAGTGGGGCAAATTTGGTCTTTGAGTATTTTAAGTATGGCTGTGTGATTTCCTGGGCCTAGTTTCCACAGAAGCCATCAACTTTTGAAACTGATTGTATTTGTATTGTGACTAGGGATGGGGCAGATCCAATCCGGTATCGGCCTCCGATACCAGCATAATTTACGTATCGGATTTTTCCAATCCAACCCGCAAAGAGTTCCGATCCATGATGCATGTCTGTGTCTGTTGAAACGTCTCCAAATGTGATAAGGCATGTCTCATGAAACCCAGACTAATAAGACCCACCTCACATTCAGGAAATCCATTTCATAGTTTGCAGCCAGCTAAAACGTGAGTAATTACTCTTTTTATACGGCTCTGCTGAGGGTTGAGCACTGAGCAGCACTGTTGCTAACGGCTAACCTACTTTTCACCGTAACATGTCCTCTGTGTGGAAGTATTTTACACTAAACACCACAAGACAGCAATGTGCAACGTCTGCAGAGCCACTATACAGAGAGGGGGAAGCTCGGTCGCGACCTACAAAACGTCGAACTTGATAATATTTGAAAAAGCAGCACATTAATGCGCATGAGGATTGTTTAGCCAGGCACCGTGGTAACGTTAGTTTTACGTTGAACGTTTGAGCTCTGTGGCTTCAGCAGTGTGTTTCTCTTGTTCAGTCCGAAGCAGGCAGTCTGATTTTGGTCAGCCGCGCTCAGTCTGTCCCTTCTCCGAGACTCTGCAGACTGAGCACGGCTGACCGAAATCAGACTGTATGCTTCGCAGCTTGATTGAATATTTGCAGCCAAGATATAGTTTACGTTTACCCTCCAGCAGATATTTATCAGCACAACAGTAGACAATCATAAAAAAAAAAAATAAGAATTGAAAAATAAAACAAAATTATATATACAAAAGAAAATAAAACAGCTACATTATAAAGTGATGTAATATAATAAAAATAGGAACATGTCTTTGTTGGTTTTTTCCATGAACTTAGCAGATGTTTAAAGCCATTTAATCAGAGTCAGATATTCTTTATTGTCATTCACACCACAAGTGGTACATGTGGTGGAGTAAAATTATGTACACAGGGTCCCAGTTACATCCAACAATAAAATGTAAAAGAAAAACAGTAGTAAGATCTAAGATATGAACTAAGAAAAGCATCAACTAAATAAACACTAAGCACTAATAGCATAAAAACATTACGTCAAACATCAGCACAAATATGAACATGAGTTTACAGTATGTAAGCAGATGAGCACGCATGAACAAATCAACATGAAACAGATAAGCAGCAACATGAAACAGATCAACAGCAACGTGATGTGATTTTTTTCACAGTGATTATTCTGGTTAGAGATTCATGAGTCTAACAGCCTCAGGGTAGAAGCTGTTCCTCATTCTAGTGGTTCTGCACTTAATGCTCCTCAACCTCCTTCCTGGGAGGAGCGGGGAAAAAAATGTGTGTGTGCTGGGTGAGTGGGGTCCTTCATGATGCAGGTGGCTCTCTTCCTGCATCCGGAGGTTTAGATGTATGTGATGGTGGGGAGTCTGACTCCAACAGACTTCTGTGCAGCCTTCACCACTCTCTGCCAAGCTTTTCTTTCTGCAGCTGTGCAGCCTCCATGCCACACGTTGATGCTGGAGCACAGGATGCTCTCCACTGCACAACTGTAGAAGGAGGTGAGGACTGAGCTTCCCAGTCCAGCTCGTCTCAGCCGCCTGAGGAAGTAGAGTCTCTGATGAGCTTTCTTGATCAGGTTGGTGGTGTTGTTGCTCCAGCTGAGGTTGTCATTCATGTGTACATCCAAGTACTTGTAGCTGGAGACCACTTCCACCGCAGATCCTCTTATGTTCAGGGGGGTGTAGGTGTGTTTGTTCCTTCTGAAGTCCACAATCATCTCCTTTGTTCTTCACATTGATGTGAAGGTTATTCTCTTAATCACTTTAATATCGACTTTAATATCCACTTCGGCACATTGTTTTTGTTG